CTGCCGAGCGGGTAGCGTGCTTGCTTGCGCTCTGTCTGAGGTTCCCAGTTCGATCCCCAGTTGGGTAGATGGAATCGAACTACTGACAAGATTCAACCAGGTCGAAACAGCTGTCCAGTGCTTCCTAGCTTTTCAGTTCACGTTTCATTTGCTCTATACACGACGATTTCACCTTTAGGTATCAGTTCTGACGAAAAGTGCGTGTAAAGAAAGAAAACATGGAATGGACAACACATCAACTTCCACAGTGCAATACCGATCAAGCGAAAAACGAAATCTAGTGCAGTCTTGCCCGGCGAGCTAGAATGATTTGTTTCAACGGAACATCGGAAAATGAATTAAAGCGACTGCAAAGCACTTTCCAATAAAGTGCTTGTCAATTTCTTTACAACATTATTCCACTGAAATTCTAAATTTTCTCTTTGATCCTGCTTTCAACCTTTTGTCTTTCTCCTAATGTTCATCCAAATAGGCAGCCAAAGACAGCAACCGAAACCGGTGCACGATAGTCCATGGTTAATGGTTGTACACATTGAAACTTTCGAATAAACGTGTGCTATAACAACTGGCCCAAACCAGAAACAGTAGAGAACTATTTTTAATACACAACTAGTTCTTTCCACCGAACAGCTTGTAACACCACATGATCGCAAGACCTCAGAAAACTAAGCGCTTTTTATCGGGAACAGGTCATAGATAACTGAATAACCCATTGAATGAAAATGATGCTTATTTACAAAAGTCGGACATACGTTAGCAACCTCACAACATATTTCAAATACTTAACCACTTTGACGGCATTTATTATCAAAGAAGTTACCCTTGAGTGACCAACGACCACTNCCACTACACCAGAAAGAACAACCGAGAATCCTCAACGTGTGCTAATAACCAATGTCTGTGATGAACACTGCTGATGGTACCCTGGCGTTCTTAGTTGTCCCGAGCGGTGTCGAGGTCTCCACGACAACCAATTTACCTCAGTGGTGAACCACGTTATAATCTGAAGTGCCACCAATGGTTAACTTTTTTGAGCTACCAGGTACGATTGATGATATGAACTAACCCTTCCTCTAAAAGCCTCAGTATGGTAGAGGGTGGATGTCTTGAGTTGCTGCTGATAACCCCTCCCTTACATAGTGTGGAATTAGCCTATACGACCAAGCATTTCAAATAGCTTCTGCCGAGGAAGCCCCACTTATTGCCTTCCCGTGGCGGTACACTATTGAGAAGATATCAAAACCCATGAAAATTCACAAATACGGTTTGCAGTCAAAAGTGGAATGTCCCCAGATTCCCCAAAACCGTGCTGTTGACAACTAGTAATGAAAATCACATAAGACAGAGATAAATGTGTGAACCAGTAATTCATCATTCAATGAACTAACACAAATCAGAATCTACGATCATAAACGCTGTGTGGTTTATCTGTGAAAACAAAGAAACACTTGAATTTTCATGACATTTTGACGATTGTGGACACCAATTGCAACAGACTGAAAAAGGTGTACCGGATTCAATCACAGTCTCGATGAATAAGAATATATTGCGCCGCCATTTTAAGTAGAGACCTCGGTATGCGCCTCTTTAACGGTAATCAAGATTAGCGCAGAAAGTGTGGGTGCGCATAAATTAACATTTGTAATCTAATGTGAGCAATGCAGGTCCAAATTCGATTTGAAAAAAATGAATTTCTCATCACAAGAACAAATTCGATGAGTTTATAAATTGACAGCAGTCTGTGAGTGGTCAGGAGGAAATTACAGTGACTGGATGGAGATTTTCTGTCCCTATATGCAAAAAAGCGACCCAGAGACAAGCGTACCAGAATCGAAATAAAAGAGGAAAGTCAAATGAAGATGCGCAGAGACGATCGCAGCTAGGACAGCAAGAATAACGAGACCGATGGTGAAGACAACTGCAAGCGAACAAATAACCGAGAATATTCTTTCTGCACAAGACAACAGTGGTTCTGATGAACAGATGATGACAATCAGGACTACAGAAGGAAGTAGTAGGCCTCATCCAATACAGACCACAAAGAGACTAGGTAAGGCAAAGCTGGACGGAAACATGCAACTTATATGGGGACAAACAGCACGAAAAATGTCGCACTAAACATTTTTGACATGCTACTGATTTCCCACATGGATTTGCCAAGCCAGAAGACGCGAATCGAAGCCAGTTGAGAAGAAATTGCAAAACCCTTCATCCGCCCAGGCGACACTGGTGACCATTCGAGCATGCCCCTGCAAGTGGAGGAATGTGAATACACGTGAAAGTGAGTGTGTGTGTGTGTGACGGACAAGGAATGAAAAACAGAAACAGCAGAATTAATATTCGAGTAGTTCCACATTTATCACAGCCAAGAGAAATAGACAAAGATGAAAGGGACACTGTGATTAGAGCACGCACTGCTTTTATTCGAGGCAATTAATGGTTTGAAGGTATTGACCATAGTGATTTTTACTGATAAAACGGAACACGAGGTATGATCTGGAAAGTACGACAGCTTACGTTACCAAAAAAGCAGACCATGACAAAAAAGCTATTGATGCGACTCGTGTAAGCTGTTTATTGGAACAAACCTAGGGGAAACAAGCTTGGGAGTATGGTACAGATCGACTGCAATTGTGGACTTTGAAAAATAGCAATCCGATGATCAACCAAAATTCAAATTCAACCAAAATAAGTGAATCTAAGATCGCAACATGAAATGTTGTTGTAGTGTGAACGACGAGTGAACGAATGGCATAAGATGACGGACAACAGAACTGATTTCCCTTTTCAACACAAAAACCTGTTCAGATCACTTTTCAGTCCACTTTCCCCGAGATAAATCCTGAGCCTTTCAATTACAGCAAAAAAAGGAACTTTCCCATTTTGAAAATGAACGGGGACTGACCGATCCGGTAAATCGTGTCAAAAGATCGGGACAAAGTGCTCTATGGTTCTCTTTCACTTCAAGTGACAATTGATATTTAAGCATTGACATTTGTGTTTGGCATCGAGGACAGACAACTTAACCGAATATACTTGCTCGACCGTTGAGTCCGTGTGCCAGAGAGTAGACCAGTACACTGCTGATCATTCGTTTCCCTTTTTACAGCAATTTGTCTTGGTCAGCAGAGTAGCCCCTCTTGAAGCATGCAGCTGACGCAGGATGAGCGCACAGAGAAGTGGCTCAATGAAATATGATACAGATCCATGGTCATTTTGGGTATGCATAAAAGTTTCAATACTGGTTTCAATACTGGGTCGAATCTTAGAAACCTCCACATCAATTAAAAAGAATCTCTCAGACCTGAGTCAAAGATGACTATCAGATAGTAATGCTATCGTTAGACTTATCACCTTGCGATTAGTAAAAGCCCCAAAGAAACAAAAAGGGAGCATTCTCAGCAGCCTGATGTCAATTTTCTGAAGCGCGGGTGAAACGAGAGAAGGCGGAAGAATATGAACCAAAATGGGTACTAAATTACAGTCCGCAAAAAATACAATGGATGTTGTTTTTCTGCCATAATTACGTTATAGTCCTAGTTATTTTCCCACTTTCCCTGACGGCCAAACATAGAAATCTTCGAGCTGATTTACAGATAGACGAAAATTGAAGCAAATTATCAGTAGTTATTCTGGGAGGGAAGCAGTTGCGATGACTTTTATACAAAACAGATAACCTTTCTCGCTTTAGTATCAAAGTTTGGTGGAGGAGCACCAGCGTACCTTCGAATTCAAATGATGTAAACAAATAACGTGTGATGCGGACTGACCAGCAACGGGAATAAGTTTGATTTGGACTGCCCTGATGGCTAATCCTATTGTTGACCAGACTTGTGCATCCGGAATACTTCAACACGCGGGTATTCCATGATAGTTTGCTTATGGTATAAGAAAGACAGAGTCAGTTATGGTAGATGGTGTTCAGACCTCACATCTTAAGTAAACGCCATTGACATCCAACGGCTTTCTGTGTCGAGAAATTATGTATAATCCCGTGTTTTCAACAACAACAACAACAACAAGCCTATGTACTGGATTTATTTCAAAAAGCATTATGGTAATGTAATGACCTGTAGGCAGTCCAGATTTAAGCCCCATTGAGTTCAATAGGTCTCATTACACGGAAAATATAGCAAATTAATGACACTTACAAACACTTAAAAAACTGGGGAGTCTTATTGTATGCTTGGGGCACTACAAATAGATAACTTCGCGCAATAATATAGACTTGTGACAAAACAGAATCGTCCGCCGATATTTTATTGAACAATTTTCAATGTAATGCTTATTAATCAGCTCGCATCAATTCGGAACTTGTAAGTGCCCTTTTTAGTGTTCTCGTCGTGTCAGAAAATAGAAAAATACGTCCGTAACCAATATGCGTGATGGCCTCAATCACCAAATATCGAAAAAGACGGTCATATGAGACAGCAAGAAAGAAAACGTGCCAAAACCCAGTTCGCCTACTGCACACAAGCGGTTAAACCGGTCGGGATGGCACGAACGCCACCCCAGTTCCAGTGGCTATTTGACTCGGGCGGCTCACTATCACGAACAGTTATGTGAACGGTTAGGTTGAGTTCTGTTGGTTTGCTGAAATCGAATCAGGTTCGAAAAAGAGCGGGACAGAACGATGCTGAACTGATAAGATATGGCAAAAACCTGTTTTCACATGTCACGCACGTGTAGTATATCCAACCCCGTTTAAAGCCACAACGGTTTTAGATAGAAAGTGGATCTCACACAATTCACACTGAGTCTACAGTCAGAAAAAATCACATAAATACTCTCGTTTTTATAAGAGATGTTTCTATCACTTCATTACTCAGTGAAAAACGACAAACTTAATTCAATCGATTCGAATGAGAGCGAACACGGTACGAGAACAAATCATCGATAACTGTGCACCGGGTAAGTGGGGTCTTAAATACGGAGATTATGGCATTAGAAAACGAAAAATTGAGCACGCCAATAACAGAAAATAATTTGGATAAAATGCATCACAACCACAAACTGACTCGAGATGAAGATCGAGTTATGCGGCCGATACGATTTCCATTCAAATCGAAGAACTTGATGCCTCTATTTTCCAAAGGCAGGGCCAAAATACGAGTCATGTTGGTGGCCCAGGACTGTGCATGGCTACCGCCTACAGTAGGAGCCATTCCTGTAGCCCCAGACCCTGGCATACCGGTGGCTGAATGGGGAGGAGCACCTGGTGGTACGGTCTGTGTGACACTCGGAACGGTTGAAATAAGAACCTGAGATGAGTGACTGAGCAAAGAGGCAGGCCCTTCCCCAGTCGGTGCTGCGGCAGGTGCGGCTAGCGAAGTATTCCCCGTAGGCGTGACAACTGTGTTGATCGGCAGGTTTGGAGCGACCACTGTAGAGCCCGTTACGGATGAACTGACAAAGGCACCTGCCGTGGTCGTGGGGATAACGGACGAGGAAGCTATTGCGGACCCGCTGTCCAGTGTGGAATCACCGGTTATCAAACCGACAAACGCTGTACTGCTGCCGGAAATGGATAAGCGATTGATACCCGAATCTGTCCGGATAGTGACCAGAGGTCCCCGACTCTGACGCAAATCCCAAATTCGACACAGTCGATCTGCACCTGCACTAATCAAGCGTTCCGTAGTCGTCCCCGTTAGAAACTGTGTGGTTGACACGGTCCTGTAAGGCAAACGATGCGT